TAATGAAATGGAAAAGCATACTAAATTAGGCTAGCTCCGATTTACCAGACTTCGGGCTTTTAAAGCATGATCCTGCTTTCCAGTTAACCAGGATCCATACTAGCTTTACATAACTCGCACTACGTTATCCCGCTCTAACGCCACGAACCATAAACTCGCACTACGTTACCCCGCTCTAACGCCACGAACCATAAACTCGCACTACGTTACCCCGCTCTAACGCCACGAACCATAAACTCGCACTACGTTACCCCGCTCTAACGCCACGAACCATAAACTCGCACTACGTTACCCCGCTCTAACGCCACGAACCATAAACTCGCACTACGTTACCCCGCTCTAACGCCACGAACCATAAACTCGCACTACGTTACCCCGCTCTAACGCCACGAACCATAAAAACTCGCACTACGTTACCCCGCTCTAAACGCCACGAACCAAAACCGCACACGTTACCCGCTCTAACGCCACGAACCATAAACTCGCACTACGTTACCCCGCTCTAACGCCACGAACCATAAACTCGCACTACGTTACACCCACTCTAACGCCACGCTCCGTTAACTTGTACTACGTTACACCATTCTAACAGTACGTAATAAACTTGCTCTACGTCAAACAGCTGTAACGCCCCGCTACATAAACTCGAACTATGTTACACTGCTTAAGACTTCGATACTCCACTTCGAACTACGTTACAAAAAATTCACACTCCTATATCCCGCAGCATACCGTTACATTACTTCACACCTAATGTAAGGTCTAGTGAGGAATTATTGCCAACCATCTCTTTAGAAGATTCCAGAATTTTCTATGATGTCATTCACTATTAAGTTTTATAATTAACAACATGAATATAACTAAATTTCGGTCCATCAGCGGCGGAACAATCTGTGTTCGAATCCAGGCGAACAGACTGGCTGCATTGGGCGTATTCGTGGTTTTCGCCATGTGTAAAGCATTTACGAGCTTGTTCCCCTTCCAAAGTCCTCCACGAAGGAATCCCTCCCTTTAGGCAGATAACGCTTAGTGTGCTTTGCCATTATAAATCTATACCAAACCTAACTAAAGTTTCAGTTTTACAGTTCCATTATACTTAATAATAAGTATTCATATGCAGTTCAATGTAAAAGAAAGGACAAGAAGTAAAGAAAAGTGCGTAAAGAAGGTACGTATGTACATTAGTACTTCTAACGTACGTACATTAGTCCGTACGTACGTAAGTCGGTATGTAAGTGAGTACGTGAGTGAGTGTACCCGGCTGTAACTCATTCTCTTACTTGAAGAATTTGCTCAGGCGCTCATTAATCGAATGGCACTCTTCGAAAGCAGTGTTTTGATGAGGCAACAGAAATTTTAAACTTTTTTTAAATCGATCAGAAACAATCTCTCTAGTGCATGAAGTTCGTACTAGAGAGTCTTTGCACCTACTTAGACGAAAGCAAAAAATATTTTGCCTGAAATATTCTGAAAGTAGCTTCTAAAACTCTCAGTTGAAAAGTCGAATCAGTTCATTCGTGCATGCACGAGTATACAGAGATTTCGGGCCTCTGATAAACTGCAGGTTTTCGTGATAAAGAACACTTACATGGGCAGGGAATTACGGCCCTTTTCTCTTCTATCGTGCTTACAGTTTGATGGTTTTACATGGAGCTGCTGACAACATTTATGAGTAATGATGCTCCTCGGTCAAGGTCATGACATAGTATTGACTTCTCGGCATATATAAGATTAATTATTTTCGGTTAATGCACACCTTTAATAAAAAGTTGCGTCAGGTTTCAGCTGAGAGGGAAATTATAATCGACTTTCAACTGAAAGATTTTGCTGCAAACTACTTTTTATTGAAATAGTTTTCAAGAAGATTTTAATATGAAAGAAATATACATTTACAATATTTTCAACGGTTAAACAACGAAGTTACAGTAAATGATTCCCGTTTAAACAAAATGCTTTCAAGAGCACTTTAACGTTAAAATATTACCAACAATCCTCAACAGACTTTAAAGTATTTTTTCATACTTGGAAGAGATTGAAATGGATTCACCTTATTATTTCAGCGTGCATTCGTTTTACAATTCATTTACATTTTACGTAATCTTGTTAAATACGTGCTATATTTTAATTTGGGGGAGTACATTTTATATAATCTTAATTTGTTATATATACTCAAGAGTTTTTAGGCGGGTAAATATCTGTTTCTTTCTCTTTATATAAATGTAACTTATATCGAACAAGGAATTTGCAATGTATCTAGAGAAATGATGAACGTTTTTCAGTGTTTTTAATAGGTTATTTAAAATCCTTTTCTATTCTCGTCATCAAAGGCCATTAGATAGAAACAAAACATAAATAGCTATATATATATTAATACATTCTACATTATTCCAAGCAGCGCACCAAGGAGAATTTATCCAAATGGAACCAAAATTGCGCATTAAGGGGACTCATACACCTTAAAACCCATAAGATGTTCGAATAGGTGACTGTTGCGAGAATTGGGATAACTTATTTATTTTAAAAGCAATTACTACCAACTTTTTACAGCTGACTACATAATATAGCTGCTTTCTGAAATAGTTATCAGAAAGTTCGTTGCCACAATATTTTATAATTTAATCCGCTTGTGACAAAATTTTTCATGTGTTTCCAACTTGCGGCGCAGTTTAAAACATTCTGGTTTCATAATTTATTTCCACATTAAATAAACGTAATATGATTTACAATTGTCACCTATACGTATAATCATCGGAAAGCAGCTTCAAACGCAGAGTCTGCTTCTATCTGTCGACTTCATATTATCTTAATTAATTTTTAGATGATTTATAAAGTAAATATCTTTACTCTTTTGTCAGGTTACATAACACTATATGTCTACCTTAAGGCAGAAATAATTTTGTTGACAAAGTCTTACGATACTTCGTTTAAATTAATAACTTAGACGGATGCAGAGCCTAAGTTATTGGCTTAGACGTAAATCATGTTATATTATAGGCAGTTAACGAAAGTTTCTAATCTGAGTTGATGGAAAGTAAAATTGTTAAGCACATAACATATTGCTTGATATCAGGTATATTACCTTCAAAATTTGCAACTCGCTTTTAGTTTAAACACTAAGGCAGATCAGTGTTCCCTTTAGCGAACTTTATAGCCTTCGAATAATTATATACAAGCACATAAAATTCCATATTCCGCATACTAAGCGTAATACTCCTTCCCGTGACAGAGAAGATTGGCATTTCAACAACAGTTACCAATATAAACCTAGGCGTTGCTTCAAACAATAGTTCAACATTCATATTTATTGAGTCCTTTTTATGTGGAAAGGATTCTTCTGGAACATTTAAAAAAACATGTGAAAGTTTTCAGATTTTTATTCCACCCAAAAGGTCCTTTTTCAACGTAATGTGTATTACTTTTATTTATTTAAATAGCGTGTTCTTTGCACTTAAACCACAAAATTCAATTCAACAGTAATACCGCAAAATAATTTAAACACAGCATATCTTTAAAATTTCTGATACACAATCTTACACGCTGGAGATAATTTTTTTCCTGTATAGTATCTCCATTGCTTCCTTTGAAATCGTTGAGTTTCTTAATCAAAAACTCATATATGCTTTACAAAGTATAAACTAGAATATGCTTTACAAAATATGAAATAGAATATGCTTTACAAAATATGAAATAGAATATCCTTTACAAAATATGAAATAGAATATGCTTTACAAAATATGAAATAGAATATCCTTTACAAAATATGAAATAGAATATGCTTTACAAAATATGAAATAGAATATGCTTTACAAAATATGAAATACGTATATATTTATTGAAATAGAATATGCTTAAAAAAATAGAATATGCTTTACAATATGAAATAGAAAATGCTTTACAAAATCTGAAATAGAATATGCTTTACAAAATATGAAATACAAATTTGGGCTTCCATATTCCCATATTCGGGTGGAGATGTACGTTATTTTAAAATTTGATAGCTCTAGTTACCGTCGTTTCTTCAAAATACGAGAAACATTCTTGCAAATTCTTCATTTGTTGCCACCAAATATTATCGCCCTGTATTATATTTAAAGAAATTAAGGGCGATAATATTTGGTGGCAACAATTTGAAAAGCGATACATCCTTTTTAGTCTTCAGCGCAAAATGCTAAAACGAAATTAATAGCCCTTCTGGGCTAACGCCCTTTGGCCTAATAATAAAACCTCATGCTATAATATGAATTATACATTTAATTAATATAGATGATAACAGCGTCGGAGAGAAAAACTGACTAAAGTATTCTTTGTCCACTTGCAGTTGCAGTTAAGAGATTCCGACAAGCAATTAAACCTGAATGAGCCAAGCTGCCATTTTCAAAAAAATAAAACGGACTTTCATTATCGCCTCATTTCGACTCGTATAAAAGTTTACACGACGCATATAAAATTGCACAAGTTGATTTGCGATTCGGTCCCGGACGGCCGCTTTAATAATAAGGAACTACCGAAATATATCTCTTGAATTAGTTAAGAGCCACAAACATAATAGCACATTTAAAAGCAGATTTTTATTGAAAATATACTTTTGAAAGCCGGAACACTATTTTGGTACACTTCCGTTATTGGGACTACATTCAGAAATGTACGTATGTATGCATATATGCACACATGTGTTTCTATATGCATTTATATGCACATAAATGCAAACGTACATACATACATTTCTAAACTCAGTCCCGATAACAAAAGAGTACTGACTGTTTTAAATGACAAGTACAACACACATAATTTTGCGGTCAGCAATAGGACAATGATGATGCATACATATTTCTATGGGAAATTGTTTGACGTGTGTATTCCGAGAATTCAGAAGATATAAAAGTCCTACACATACTTATGTAGAATAATTAATAATTTTTCTAATTTTTGTGATAAACGTTTGAAATAAAAAATCTCTTACACGAATATCTAGGGAAATCAAAAATAGAAGTTTCACTTACCGAATTGGATTTCGATGATATGCTTGTGTCTGCGGTAGAACTTTATGCAGATGTATCCATTTTTGCTGCAACAAAATGCATAATACATGAGTTCAAAAATACTTAATTTCTAAATTTGGAAATTAAACTCGAATAATTCAAGCACGTAATATTCACATACGATGAGTTTACAACTTTTAATTTCTTAGATTGCTTATAAATTATTTAAATCTGAATATAATTTAACCTTACGAAATCAAATACATCATGAATTTGTTAGGCACTGCACAAATCAACTGGTAACCACATTAAAAATTAACAAAATGGCAGAGTTTTGATTAGAGATGGTTTTCACCAAATGAACATGAGGGCAACAGTTTATAAATATGATATTCTTGTACTCCTTCCTCTACTCATTTATTTAAAATAATTAACTAATCATCTGTTAATGTACAACAAGGTGCAATGATTTTATTAAAATTTTGGTAGTTACCTATTAACGCAACCACCTTGCCATAGTTCGGCGATTTTTTACAGATGAAAAGGTAAACGTTTCTTATCGAGTGCAAGTTTTTGGTTTTCGATTGTTTCTTTTTTTAAGAGAAATTCCCAAACGATCGATATTTGTAGTAAGTCGAAAAACATTATCAACATAGGAAGAGGACTTACATGTTAACGCTACCACTTTAGTAGATTCCGCCAAATTTTCGGAGTGTAACATATTTAGAAGCGGCATGAAATATTTCCTGAGTTTTTGCAGCAAAATGACATGCTGTGCTTGCGTTCGATTCAGGCAAAGCTCATGTGCTTCCTCCGTAGACATGATGTTTCGGAAATCCCCATAACCAGAAGTCACAAGTAGTCAAACAAGAAGGCCAGGTATTCAGAAAACTCAAAACTACATGATCGTATCTAAATATATATATATATTTAGATACGATATATATATTATCTAATCTAATATATATATCTAATCTAAATATACGCAATATCTAAATATATATATATATATATTATATACATGATAGTATATAATACATCGTACCCAGTATAAAGTACCCAGTATATCGTATCTAGTATATAGTACCCAGTATGGTTGTACCCAGTATGTAGTATCCAGTATAGTTGTACCCAGTATCTAGTACCTAGTATATAGTACCCAGTATATATTATGCAGTATATAGTACCTAGTATATAGTATCTAGTAAGTACCCAGTATATAGTACCTAGTATATAGTACCCAGTATATAGTACCCAGTATAGTTGTACCCAGTATATAGTATCCAGTATAGTTGTACCCAGTATCTAGTACCTAGTATATAATACCCAGTATATATTACCCAGTATATAGTACCTAGTATATAGTATCTAGTATATAGTATCTAGTATATAGTACCCAGGATATAGTACCTAGTATATAGTACCCAGTATATAGTATCCAGGATATAGTATCCAGGATATAGTACCTAGTATATAGTATCCAGTATAGTTGTACCCAGTATATAGTACCCAGTATAGTTATACCCAGTATATAGTACCCAGTATATAGTACCTAGTATATAGTACCCTGTATAGTTGCCATTTCGCCTAAAGAAAAATTTTTCTAAATATCCTCCTTCTGGGCATGAGTGTTTTTGTGGTTTTCCCCATGTGTAACGCGTATACGAGCCAGTTCCATTAGAAAGTCCTCCACGAAGGCATCCCTCCCCTTAGGCAGATAGCCCTCGAGGCTTTGCCGTAATTGAATAACCTAACCTAACCTAACCTAACCTAACCTAACCTAACCTCCTTCTGTACAAAAGCAGTCTGCTACAGTAGTTCTCAGTAGCAAGTACTTTTAACGATGCACCTAGTAGATCACTTGTTCTCAGCCTATTTTGCACCATGTACTCGTTTAATTTTTAATCAATGAATTTAATTACTTAATTTAGCCGCCTAGATTGAACAGTGGTTAGGGGAGCCGGCTGAGATACGCAAGGCCTCGGGATCGAATCCCGCAGAAGGCATACATCTAAATTGTCTGTACCCTCATAGGAGGTAACGGTGTCCGCTTATTAAGTGCCTCCACAATAAAATGGCCACCACTTCTGGGCTTAGGAAAAACCCATGCTGAAACAAAGGCAAGTGTCCGCCATTCGAAGAGAAAAAAAATAATTTAATTAATTAGTTTTAATAATTCCTCTTGCTGATTCTTAATTATATCTTCCTCGAGTTTATTAATGAAATATAATGGGAGTATTAACACGAGAAAATGATGTAAACCAAATTTTACACTATTTACGAGTTTAATTTCAAATTGAGACTCATGTTTTACATTTAATATAGGAACATAGTATGAGAGTCAAAAACTATTTTTATTACAGAACACTTTGGAAGCATATTATTTAATTTAACTAGTTAGTTTTAATTTCACACTTTACTAAAACTTCTCCTTTCCATTTCCTAACCAGAATGTAAATCAGTTTGAAAGTAATTAAACTGATGTTTTTTAATTTTAAACAGTGAGTATACTTTGGCCTAAACGTGCACGCTACGTTTAATTTCTTCTAGCTCTGATGAGTTGTAATTATTCTCCTCGTTATATCGTTGCCAACATTTGATTTTCACATACCAGTAGAGTTCCTGAGCTAGTTTTAGGGTATATTTAAACTGTGCAGTCTTTGGCTACTGTTCAGCATTTTAACTTGAAATTGACTAATCTGTTTAGCTTCATCGGTATTGTCAGCACAAGAACATTCATATATACCAGGTGTGACACATAAAACGAGATTAAGTGCATAGCTTGAAAACAGACTGGAGTTGGCAACAACTGCTTTAGTGACGTCATGCCACACACCTCCTCTATCTATTCGACCAGTTTCGACTTAACTGGCCACACCAGTGGGGAGTATTACGTCATTGAATGAACACGTGCAACTGCATTCTGCCGAAAACATATCTAATGTAAAAACAGAACAGCAAATCAACATCAAGTTTCTTGTGAAACTTAAGAAATTGGTCACGGAAAAAATATTTCAAATGTTAACTGAGACTTATGGAGATGAAATTTTGTCTCATGCACGTGTGTTCAAATGGCGCACATGTGCACGTTCATCATCTTCCATACTGTCCCTTTGAATATGTTCCCAGCTTCAGACTGTAACTCAATACTTCTACATATTGTTGTTGTTGTTCTTGTTACTAATCTCCATGCCTAGGAATATACTAGACGAGGTCCACGAGTCCATTCATCTTTAAAAATCGAAAACAAGCTTAGGAGACCCGTAAAGGTCCACAAGAGACACCTTCAGGCACTCAAGGATATGTGCCGGTGATGCGGGTGCATTGTGACACTTAGAACAAATTGGGTGCATCTTGATACCACTCTCAAAAGTAAGTCCCCTCAGGTGCCCACTGAAGAATCGGGAAAGTGTTGTCTGAGTACATCTTTCGCAATCCATAACAATGTATCTTCCAGGACAATCAGCTTGATACCAGGGATGACTCGGGAGAACGAGCCAAATTTGTCTGTCAGCATGTCTTCTAATGGAATGCAGCTCAAGATATGTCAGTGAATTGATAATTGGCAAACGTTCTTCAGACCCCCCTCAAGTCCTATAGGCTGCCTCAACGTGGCGACGGGGTAGCACTGGGTGGAATACGCGAAGTACGTCGGGAGTGTATACTCCAGGTAGGGCCACCCTAGGCGTGAAGGCTATTCCACTATACCCAGCTAAAGCCTACAGGCATCTGAGCCCAGTCCTCTACCATTGGTGCTCGGGTCTCACGACTTACAGAGGCTGCCCTTTTCCTCCACCCATGAGTCATGACTTCTACATTGAAGTACTGAAAGGACTTCGTGAAAACTTTACGAAAAAAGCCCACAGTTGTGGAGCGATGCTTGGCTGTTGCACCAGGATAATGCACGTCACCAGATAGGACTGTTTGACAGATAGGACCAGGTCACACGGACCTATCTGTTAAGCAGCTTCTGACCAGCAAAAACATCACTGTGATGGGGCATCCTCCTTATTCACCTGATTTGGCTCCATGCGACTTTTTTTATTTCCTAAAATTAAATCTACTTAAAGGAATCACATTTTACCTGAGTTGAAGAGGTTCAGACAAAAACGGAGAATCTCCTGAAAGGCCTTACAAAAACCTCGTTCCAGAACTGTTACCACCAATGGCAGCACCGAATGCAGAAGTGTGCAAATGCTGAAGCGAACTACTTTGAAAGCGATAACGTCACGGAGAACATATTTTGTAAGTGCAATGATTTATTGTACCAATCTCTTTATTTTTTTGGTCACACCTCATATTTTAAGTGTTCTGTTTAAATTAAAAGGTTTAGTGGTCAAAAAGGTCTATGACTTTTTAGTTACTTCAAAACATAGCGATAATTTGCTTCAGGTCCGTTAGGAGTTTTCGAACTGATTAACACTTACCAGATCAAGGAAAACCCATAAGGTGTTAAAAGCAGCTGTTTAATCTAAACCTCAGCAATAGTTTAGTAACTTTCAAACATACCATGAAATGAAACGTATCGTAAAAGATAAGGTTATTTTATGGTTTTTTCAGAGTTTAAAAATGTTACTTACCATCCTGACATACTGTAGGCCACAAAAGTGCTTGTATTGGCTGACGAAGAAATTTCCTCAATGCAGAAGAACTTTGTATCAGCGTGGTCATGCGAGTGAGACAGTTTAAAAGTCGTATTCTTTAGACTGAATGTATATATCTTCTTCCCGTCCAGCGTGTGCCATCTATGAGATGCAGTGACCCACGAAGGAAAAGGGCAGTTTGGAGAAGGGTGTTTACCTGCAAATATACATAACATATTTCAGTTCTGATTCCCAACATAATGCTACAAATTTAAGTCAAACGTTACAGGATGTTGTCTTCTTCGGCAACATACAATTAAACCAGACTTACGTTTTGGCACAATAGAAGTAAAATACATATTTTTCCCTTCCCCAGCAAATATATTTGAAAGAGTGTAATTCGCTAAATGCGGGCACCTAACTATATTATTCCTAGCTTATTAAAATTAATATGAAACAAAAAATGTACATGTATTGTAATTTAGAATAAATGTACATTACTAGAATATAAATTTATATATTTAAAATGCCACAGTTGAATTTTAAAGTAACATAATATAGAATTTTATGACGGACAGAAATTTCAAACAATAATTTAAAGGGCTGAACAATTTTGTGTTCGAGAACTTAAAAGAGATTTGATTTTGTAAGATTTGAGGAGACACCTACACCTTAAACCCCTCATGATCTTCAAATATGTGACTGTTGCAAGAATTGGGATATTTTATTTATTTTAAAAGCAATTACTTCCAACCTTTTACAGCTGACTACATACTATAGCTGCTTTGGAAATTAGTAACCAGAAAGTTTGTGTTGCCACAAATATTTTTGTAATTTAATCCTCTTTGTGACAAAATATTTCGCCATGCTTCCACCTTACGCGCATGGTATTTTAAAAATGGCTAATGGTACATACCTGAAATTGGATGGAATTCTTTATATGGGCACTATTTTTTAACTGAACCAACAATCTGATGAATATTTTAATATTAAAAAATTTTATAGGCGAAAACATTAATTTTTTTTAAATAAAATACATTTTATAAACTCAACTCAAAATAAAATAAAATACAAACTTAACACAAAATTTTTAGAATTTTAGGTTCACAGTAGTTTCCAAATGTTATAAAAGCTATATATTAAATGTGGAAATAAATTATGAAACAGAATGTTTTAAACTGTGCGCGCAAGTTGGAAACATGATGAAAAATGTTGTCACAAAGCGGATTAAATTATAAAAATATTTGTGGCAACGCAACCTTTCTGATTACTATTTCAGAAAGCAGCTATATTATGTAGTCAACTGTAAAAAGTTGGTAGTAATTGCTTTTAAAATAAATAAATTATCATAATTCTTGTAGCAGTCACCTATTCGAACATCCTATGGGTTTTAAAGTGTATGAGTCCCCTTAAATTATCAAACATGTAAATTTTTCGTCGATTCTCTATAAACAGTACTGCATGCAAAGATATCTCCTGTACCCAGTTGTATTTGTAAGGAAGCTCAAATCAGTATCCTTCAGATCCCAATAGACTGAGAAGAGAGTACAGCTCTAAACAGCCTTTTCATACAACTTTTAGATTTTACATTTAGAGGACCCTCCAATTTCTACCTTATTTCATGAAACTTACCAATTCGAAGTACATGTCTAGGATAAATACTTAATAAAAATATACTGGTATTTGTTTCATGCATTTTACATTCAATATTACTTTAGGTTTGTACTGTTTTTTTAATTATAATTTTTCACTTCAAAACTAGACTTTGTTTTATACAAAAGTTTAAGATTTTTGTATAAAACAAAGTCTAGCTTTGAAATCACCATTTGTGCTGCTTAAATAAATGTCACCAATTTCAGGCATTTAAAATGACATAAGCTGAAATTCAAATTTAAATAATACAGTAGACTATTCAAATCATTTACTTAAACTGCCTCAAGTAATTAACGGCTGGCTTTTAAAGTCGGCTAGCAAAATGGCTAAAACCGAAATAAAGTTTTACAGAGCCGGCGTTAGTACGTAACTGCGAGCGAGCTTGCCAAAAGGTCTATCTCTAAAACTTTCAAAACTTCGTTAGAAACCCTCAAGCAATTGATTTGTATTCTGGTGGCAGATATGGAACTTGGCTTTTGCCGTGGCATTGGAGTTTTTGCCGCGTGACGCGAACGACACACAGTGCTACCTGAGGGTTACTACTGAACAGCCAAGAAATTACAATAAAATCATAATAATTGATTTAATATAAAATCCTACAGATTTTGTGAGGGAATATGTACAGTAACGCCTTAGGCGTAAATCTATACCACGATAGAGGAAAGAGAGAAATCTCAATATCTATTTAAGATATAGAGATAGTGATATACATTTAGATGGTGTCAAGCCCTATTGTTTGGACATGCCGCAAAAGTTCATTCGCTGAAGCCGTGATTGGTACTTGGTGCTACATTCGTTATGTTATCATAGTTTAGAACAAAACTGGAAAGCTATCAATCTAGTGGTTTGGTTTATGTATTTGCAGCAAAAGCCTGGAGGACAATCTGCCTAATGGGAGAGAAGCCTTCTTGGATGACGTTCTAAGACAAACAGGCTCGTATATACATTTACAAATGGGGAAAACCACGAAGACGCCCATGCAGCCAACCCTTTCGTGGGATTCGAACTTCAGACCGAAATACCAATGTTCAAAAACTGGCTAAGAAGACCAAACTACCGATGTTTTGTTATAAAATATTGTAAAACGGACTTTCGATTAACAAATTCATCGATTTCAAATCCAGCAATTGCAGCACTATACTGAAACAAATAAACATTTTTATTTCCAGTGCGCGAGACTGCCTATCGGAAATTCTAAAGATATGCGATTTTAAATATTTTGTGACTGTGCTGTTGAACTGAATTTTATGTAGTTTAAATGCGAAGAACATGATATTTAATTAATAACAGTAACAGCAAAGACGTTAAAAAATGCCTCATTGAGCGTAATATAAAATCTATCTGAAAGCTTTCACATTTCTTCTATTTTCTTTTTTTTATTATATTTAGTTACTGAACCTACTACATAGTTGCACAATAAAGTATGCTTAGTTTACTAAAAAATCAGAAATGCACGAGAAGGATATTTTGTGAAGCTGGGAAACAGTTTGAGATAATTTTAATATTTTACGCAAATTTGTTTCATGCCTTGTAATATTGTCGCTTATCTAATTATTTTTACTAGGAATCATAGCGTTTACATTTGGCAGGTTATTTTTTACACTCTCCCAAGGAAGAATTCCGCTTTCACTATGAAAATTTTAAACGAGTTAATTTCAATTATTAATGAGCAAATGCAACGTTGTCAGAATTAAAGAAATTTGCTTAAATCACTTTATACTGATAAGATTTGTAACTCTCTTTAAATAAAATATTTGCATCATTGTTTTGAAAATTAAACAGTGGAAATGAATTAACTTCTCGCAATTTAAAATTGACTTGTTTAAGAAATTGTTACACTTCAAGAGAGAATACTAAGGTGAAAATTTATTTTCCTTTGCGCCGTTTTGGGAATTGTATCCTGAATTTAATCAGAACTTATGTTAAAGTTAGATTTAATTAAAAGGCTACAAACTATAGTTAATTTGTCGCATTGCGTTTATACTGTTTAGTGAAAAATTAAGGTACTTGTATATGGCATAGAGTATCTATACGGTAGACATTAAAAGCAAGACAATTATGCCTTGGTTTGTATTTTGAAAGATAAGTGTTAAGCATTAAAATTTAATAATGTCGTGCATCTACTAGGTTTAACTATTTAATGGAAATGTTGTTCGTTTAATGTTACCGTAAATAAAACTTTCTGGTGTATTCTCCTTTCAGTAAATATCTACATGATTTTCAATGTTAGAAGCGACAGTTTTGCTATGCACATAATGCAAATCATGTTGTTAACGATGTATTGCATGTTGTGTGTTATACTATTTAGACTAATAATTCTCGAAGAAATGTTTTACATAACACTCTGCCGTTCTCAATTTTCTTTTCCTTGAATGTGAGAGATCTAAATGTAGCTTTCTTTGATTTTGACTACATGGTATTTGAATTTAACATTGCATAAACAGTATGCAAATCCTTGTGTTATACTGTATAAACCTATAATTCTTGAAGCAATTTGTCATATAACACTCTGTGGTTCTCAGATTCCTGTTCCGGAAATGAATATCCTTACACATGGAATATTTAAATCTAGCCTTCTTTGATTTTGACTGCATGATATTTGAATGTAACATTTCATAAACAATAGTCAGTCCATGTGTATATCTGTATAAAGCTATTCTTTTCGAAGAAATTTCTCACATGATGCTCTGTCTTTCTCAATTTCCTATTCCTGAAATGAATATCACGTGGTATATTTAAATGAAGCTTTTTTTTTTTTATTTTTATTCTGACTGCGTAATATTTGGATTGAACACTGCAAAAACAATATTCAAATCCATGACTGCAAAAACAATGTTCAAATCCATGTTATAATTTCGACTATGCGTAATGTATGCTTTATGCATGTGCGAATTCAAAGAAATGTTTAATATTTAAGTAAACAAATAAATATTAGGTTTTTTTTTTTGTAAATTGTGATACCCTTTAGATCTTAATTGCTCTTTATTTCATAAATTACGGTTTCATATTTTTAATTTTCTAATTTCTGCATGCCATCTTACCAGATTAAACTGATGATCTATAATCCGGAAAAACCGATAATCCGGAATTGCCGAAGTCCCGACGAATCCGGATTAAAGACATTTGACTGTAGTCAGTGTAGCCATAACATTCGTAAAACGTCTTACAAATTTCTCATTAAAAGCTACTTACTTTTTATCAGTTTCATTGTTCTAGATCCTTCCCATGGCGATACGAGCCCATCGCATGTGGCATCTGCTGACTGAGACATCTGGATTCCTTCTTTCTCTGGTAGATAATCAAACAACTACAAAGAAAATAAATATTTTGGTTAGTTTATTATATTTTGTTAATAAATATTTTGGTTTATTTTGTTATTTGTATTTTAATTACAAATTATTAAATCAAAGAAAAGCTAGCAATAATAGTTATAGTGATATAACTTACAAAGCAACGGTATGCATTGTCATCTGTAAAAGGAAGATTGTAATGTTTCTCATTAGCCATCTTCCCAACTAAATAATGGGCAGAACCTTCTTTCCAAATAGCCAGACAGCTGAGTTCTTCCACTGAAAATGTAAGAAAAATTAGTAAATAAAATCTGCTTATATGTATTGTGTGCACTAAATCTATTACGACACATCCCACCAGGCACCATGTCCCACTCCTGATACCAGAATGGATTGTAGCCTGATTAAATTTATTTTACCAAAAGGAATATTGCACAGTTCTCGAACTTTCCACAAAAACACTCGTACATCTCTTCTCATTATCATGGAATACAACCAATATCATATAGTACAGCCATTAGTTACAGTATCATATAGTACGCCCAGTAGCTACAGTTTAGTACAGAAGCTGTTCGCACATTTTTAGACGATTTTGGTAAGCTGTAATAAAAAATCGTTTACTGCAAAAGAAGTAATTGCAATTGTACTATGTTTTCAAAAGTCAAAATTATTGTCTGTGGCTTGAAAGTTTTGTTTTTATTCAAAATGGCGAATTTAACAAAGAAGTGGGTTCGAAGGCTACATTTACGCTCTTTCCGAAGAGAAATATGCATACTCCGGTATTCAAAAACGGTGTGAGAGTCATGGTATTGTGATATCTAAAGCGTCCATAGGTAATATCATCAACAAGAAAGGAAAACAAAACGTTAAATTGGAGCCTCAAGTGGGACAAAAATTCCAAACAGGTATCCGAGGAAAAAACGGACATCTTCGACTATTGCAAAGGTACGTTGTTTAATGTTAAAAGAAAATGATAAACGTTGATTTAAATCTTAAGAAAGCGAAGAAACGCAATATGCATCGTCTTTATCCAAAGCCAATCGCTCAACGCAGGACACGCTACAGAATTCTACATGAGAAACACATATCCAAAGAAAAATGGAAAACAATTGTCACAATAGATGAAGCATGGATGTATTTAAATGATTATAACAAAAAAAAAAAAAAAAAAAAGAGTCATTTATGATCATAAAAAGGGGAGAAAAAAATTTAAGTACATGGTTCAAAGAATCGAAAGAAAGTTTTTCTGAGGGATTCATGATGGTTTCTGGTGTTTGTAATAATGGCAAGTTAAAAATAAAGAGAGTGCAAAAAAATGTCAAGATTAACTCCAAATACTATCAGGAACATATTTTATCGCCAATGTTTCTTAATGAAATACCATCGCTTTACCTATGGCATCAATCTGTGAGACTCCATCAGGACAAAGCTAGCAGTCACACATCAAAAGCCACTGTAAATTTCCTAAAAGAAATGGAACGAAAAACTGGTATCAAGGCCATAGCCTTCACTGATGTCCCTATTAAATCTCTCGATGTGTCACCTATGGAGTTTTGTGCTTTCGGACTTTTAAAAACTGCATTATCCAAACGTTGTCCCAAAACCCTAACAGGCCTCTGGAAAGCTGTTCGGGAGGAATGGGATAGAATACCTCTTCTGCCACTTGAAAAGGCATTATTATCCTAGAAATTGTGGTGTCGAAAGATAGTTCAGGATAACGGATGTCAAATAGGACATTTAAAACACAAGAATTTTATGTAATTTAGTTTTGTGAATACAATATACATCGTTTAAAAAAATGTGTGAACAGCCTCTGTACAACCAGCAGTTATAGTATCATATAGTACAACCAGTAGTTACACTTCAAACTACTAAGAATGTTAAACACGTTATCATATAGTACACCCAGTAGTTACAGTATCATGTAATACAACCAGTAGTTACTGTATCATATAGTACAACCAGTAGGTTACAATATCATATAGTACAACCAGTAGTTACACTTCAAACTACTAAGAATGTTAAACACATTATCATATACTACACCTAGCAGTTACAGAATTATATTAGTATAAGAAGTATTTACAGCATCATATAGTACAACCAGTAGTTACACTTCAAAATTCTAAGAATGTTAAACACAACGGCATGGAAAGCGCATCTAAAGAGAAAAACTAACACGGAGATATCTCAATATTCCGAGCCACGATCAACCAAACAAGAACTACTCTAAATCTAATCCTCTGTTTAGTCTTATATAGTTTCCCCCAACCGCTGAGACCTCTTTAGCAGTTCTTGAAATTACTGGAAGGCTATGAGGGCAGTGTACGTTTACGACTACATATAACATCAATTACAGTTTTTCAGTTACAATACCCATCATAATTATACACAGACCGAACTCAAATGTCACCAAATGGTTGCCAAGTTAGGCAACTTTTGGCGACTGTTCGACAAATTTGCTGACAGAAATTTCCATTTTCGCCAAGCCATTGACAACTTGGCGATAACTCGCCAGTTTAGAGAGATATACATTTAAGACTTGACCCTGTATTAAGTCTCCAGTATGCTTCGCTTCTATAAGTTTTCATGTTACATTATAAAAAAATGCAAGCATTTCACATATAGTTTCAGAAAAATTCCTTATACATGTACAAAATTCCTAACATCGTGTATTTAAATACAGATTTCGACCGCATTTTCAAACAAGTATGAACTAAACTGCTTAAGAACATAAGAAATCTGCTTTGTCCAATAAGACTGTTTCGCAGTCACATACATTTCGAATAAAGTGTTAGAAGATTAAAGACACAATGTGTCACTTTCATTTTAACTTTTCGTTTACAAGATTAAAGAAATAAAAAGACCTAAACAAACATGAACAAAAAATACATTTCTTGCCTACATGAAAGAGCAAAGGAATATAATTTAGCCGAGTAAAGCTTTCGTAAATTATTTGTCTTGGAAAGAAAACCATCCTGTTTTCTTATCCTTCAGAACAAAAATTTTCTCTTATTTATAGAAAATTATATATAAAAGGCTTTTAGTCATGCTTCTATTTCATATACTCGGTATAGAACTACACATTTTTTAGAAAATTTACTCATTCATTAATGCTATCACTAAGAAATATTACATCATACAAATACCCGTTTATAAATTGTTGTGTAATTGAATTGTCTAAATTAAAAGGCACATGGTCACTAGTGTGAATTCTAAAGATATAGGATATAATGAAAAGATGCTGAATTTGCTGCGGAACTTGATGAACGCAAAGAATCTCCAAAATTAAATCCGAAGAAAGTGAAGTTTAAAATTTAAAAATGTATCAGCAGTTTTGGAGTGGACGCGAAATGAATAAAATGGCAAGTTCTCTTGATTAGCCTTGATAATACTGAAGAATCACATAGTCACGGAATTTAAATAAAAAACTGAAAGCGGATAACGGGTCAAGTACAGACTAGTACAGAGTCTAGTACAGAGTCTGGATACAAATGTGTAAAACGGTGGATGAATATAAAAAATTTTTGACAGAAGTCGAGGTCCAATTGCCACATCTCTCCATTTACTAATAATGGACAATCATGTATACGTGTATAGCGTAAAAGACTATATATGTGTATTTATAAATGCATGGCTGTATTTCTAAAAATGGTATTTTATTTCTATTAAAATATTGATACATACTGCTTATCAAATACTGAATGGCATTTCGTACTCGGAACTAATACTGCGTGACCATTTTGTGACACTGAAGATGATTGATGACTTTCTGTTTATTTGGCAGTTCTCACATGCTCGTTAAGTCCATACTTTATTTAAAGGACAGCATATTGTCAAATTAAATAACCTAAGCATATCCATTGCTGCAAGATTAATGAGACATAGCAGGCAACCACGTCAAGCTAAATGCTAACCTAACACGTGACAACGTGTATAACATGTTTTCGTTAATTAAATGGACATTGATGCTTGCTAAATTATACCATTCGCATTTATTTCAACATGATGTTGTTTAAACTCACAAAACACTACGGTTGCCTTGTAATTAGTTTTTAGCTTCAAGACGTCTTAACTCACAAGACTTCCTAATCTCTGAAAAGTAACTCTGAAAAGTAACTCTGATTAATCACTATGGATTGATTGACAATGTTATGGAGACTGATTGAGAATGGAGAATATCATCAATAATTTACAGAAAATTCATGTGGTAAACTTAGGTCATTCAGAGAAGTTGCAATTGTTACTTGATGGTTTTTCTATTATAAATTTGCGATACAAAGGCTGTCCTCACATTTTTACTTCCTTGTACAAAGTAAAAAGGAAGTATTGTAATCGCGAAAAGTTTCAGGCAGCATATTTCAAAGAAAATATCCATTTTGACCGCTATCGAATGCAATTTAACGATGTTTTTGCGTGATATCTGTACGTAAGGACAGAATAAAATACTCTTTTCCTTCAAAAAAATTATAAAACTGCTTTAAAACGAATTCTGAAGACAATTTCTCGTGGCGTCTGTACGAACGTATGTACGTACGTACATACAGTATCTCGCATAACTCAAAAACGAGTAGCCTCAGAATGTTGAAACTTTGTCTATAGGACTGATATAACATGTAGATGTGCACCTCGTATTTCGTTTGCAATCGGCGGCACCAAACGTATATATATATATATATTTATATATATCCGGGCTCAGTGATCTCAGTTTCTTTACTCTTATATGTTTGTAAATTGCACATTTTTTTCTTTAAAAATGATTGTATTATGTTGTTTTTATCTTCCGGTTAAGGTTTTTATGCCTTTACTAAATCTGTGTGCAATATGTTTAGAATTATCAACAATTTTAAAGTTGTCTAAGTGCCGCTAAGCCTTTTTCTTATGGCGGCCATTGATGTTTACATTTGAAATAGCAGATTAATGGATTTGTTGCCAATCTAGAGAAACGCAGCTTCAAAACAACAAAGATAACACATTCATTTATTGTTGCCAATTAAATCATGCTTAATTCTTTCTGGAATTTTTTCGAGGAAATAAGTGTTTAAGATTTACTTCGTAATATTTAATACAGATATTTTGAGTTTTTATGTATTTTTGCCTTCTCGCGAAGTGAGAACTGAATTAATTGAATGAGAAATACTCAATCGTCTGTGAAAAACTGTTTCTTCTTTTGTGTTGTTTGCTTAATTTCTTTTATACATGGTTCTAGCTTTATTATAGTATTTGAATAGAACATGTGGCAACGATTAGGTAATTCTATTCTTTAAATAATATAAATTTTTGTGCATTATGAGTTATAATCTGAAAGAAATATACAAGTTAACTGTTATATAATTATTGGATTATATAACAGTAACTTAGTTTCCGTTATATAATTATTATACAAGTTAACAATTATGTAATTATTAACACTCTTAAGTGAATCTAGCGCCAGAGTGTCGCTATGGTAAACAAATACTAGAGTGAATTTTAAAGAATGCATTTATTCTATTGTGGTTTATGCGTTGTCGGCGAAGTAGATTTAATTCAATCCAATAAGTTTAAATGAAATGCAAGAAAAAATGCGCATAATTTAATATTCCGTACAAGGAAGTCATGTGGTGTACACATCAGATTTTTTTAGATGATTTTGCATTTTGTTTGCTATTAAAAATCGTCTGAATGTAAATTATCTTAACTATAGCTATATTTTTGAAAGTGTAAGTTAACGTCTGCTATTTGCAATTTTGTTCTTATGCAAAATGGCGCTTTTAAATATGCAATGGACGGAAGGCTTTGTTTGGGCTCTTTCCTTAGAAATCTATTAGTATTTAGATATTAAAAATGCTGTGAAAGCCATGATTTTTCAGTATCTAAAGCAACGATAGATAATATTTTCATTAAGAAAATAAGAAAACCTTTTCGTTTCAAGGAGAAAAATTGTCCAAAATGCATACCCAAGGAAAAATAAACGGAATGCTTCGAATGTTACAAATGTAGGAACTTTACTATTGAAAGAAAATCTTCGATGTCAAAGATTGCATAGTAATTAAAATTCTCCGTGTCAACTGGGAATAACGTTGATGCCGATTTGAATCTCAGAAGTGGGAAAAACCGTGATTTGCACCGTTTTTCTCCACGACATATTGGCGACCGTAGAACGCGCTGAAGAATTCTTTATGAGAAACATTTATCCGGGCAAAAATGGAAAAACGTTGTCGCAATATATGATTCTTGGATGTACGTATGTGACTGTCGTAAAAGGAGGTCCATATATTACCTTGAGAGTGGAGAAAAATTTCTTAAAGCAGGGTTCCAAGAATCTAATGAAAGTTTTTCAAAGCGATTTTGAATTGCTGGCTTTTCATGTAACATCAACCAAAAATTAAAGACTGTGCAGAAAACTGTTAAGGTCAACTCCATATATTATCAGGAACGCATTTTATGCACAGTTTCTAAATATAAAATAACTTCTGTTTAGCCCCACTGCCATTAATCAGTAAAACTGCAATCAAGACAAAGCAAGCAGCCGCACTGTTAATTCACTGTTAATTTCCTGGGAAAAATTGAAACAAGAAACGTATATAAAGGCCATACCTATCCCTACTAAATCTCGCTGTGTATCATCCACGGTCTTTTGCCCTTTTTGGACTAAAAGGAAATCTGTTCAAAGAGGAAGTATGTACAAAGATAGGAAAGAATACACGTTACCAGATGGAATATTTGAAACACAAAACTTTTAGCTCAAATATTTCCATAAACACAATTAAAATCTTCTAAGAATGTGTGACAATCTTAGTAATATTTTAGAAAATAATTTCTTGGTGAAGCAGAAAATACACAGCGGGTTTACAAAGTAAAGTATCGGATGAATTTCAAAATCTAGAATTTTCTGTATGCATTTTTAGATGTGAACTACAGTATTAATTTTTAAATATATCCTTTGATACTTCTAGACTTCTAAAATGCTCTTCAGTATTATTTAATTTTTAACTGAAATTTCACACTGGGACATAAAAATAACTTGCTAGAAGCAAAGAGTGAGGGAGAAGATTCAGCGCAGAAAACATTTTCTTTCTGCAATAGACTGCAGTTGACTGTTGTGTTTTGGTCGAAAACGTTCTCTACGACCAGATATTTACCACAGCAAAAGTGTAAGCAATTTTTTAAATTTATCACTTATAAATACAGTGTCTCACAAAAGTTATAGGACACTTGTGCTTTACAAAAGGAAACTGTAATAAAATAAATTAAAAAAACATGTAAAAATTTTTTGTGGGTGTGTTTCATACTTAAATTTAGTAACAATTATTACATAACATACATTTTCTCAAAATATTAAAATATTAATTTAATAAAAATACAATTGTTCAAAACGGAGCAAAAATTGGCTCATATAAGTGATGGGACACCATTAGATACTACTACGTACTACAATAAAAATATTTTGGGGGGTTTTTATTTTTACTCAAAAGCAATTGGCAATAATTTATAAAATCGTCTGCAGTATTTCTTTCCAGTTTGTTTTGAAATTTTGTGTTTTTTAGCTCTGTGCAGCCATGAATGCTAAACGAAAAGAAACTTTGCCTGAAATTCGGAAATTAGTTATTAATTTGCGTATTTGAACGTGGAAAACCTATTAAAGAAACTCCTGAAACAGTTAACTTGACTCATTCAACAGTTTACAATATCATTGAACGATGTAAAAAGAATCATATGATTCAGGATAAAAGAAGACCTGGCCGACCATCAAAGCTATCCAATGGAATAAGGCGAATTATCGTTCGAAATATTAAAAAAAAATCCAAGAATGAGTGCTCCTAAAGTTGCTGCTGATTTACAAGCATTATATGGAGTAATTGTTAAACCTGAGACTATTAGAAGAGTAATTCGATCTGCTGGATATCACGGTAGAGCAGCCAGGAAAAAATTCTTCTTAAGTGAAAAGAATAGAAAACTCACACTGGCTTTCGCAAAATCCAACATAAATAAGAATTCTGATTACTGGAATGAAGTTATATTTGCTGATGAGAGTAAATTTAATATATTTGGCTCTGACGGTAGAATCTTGGTGGGGAGAAAACCCAGGGAAGAATTTCGAAAACAGAACTTGGTGCCAACAGTAAAACATGGCGGAGGTGGAGTTATTGTATGGGGGTGTATGTCGTCCGCTGGAGTTGGTACTCTTGTTTTAATTGACAGTATAATGGATCAGTACAAGTATATTGACATTTTAAATCAAAATTTGAAATCTTCAGCGCGAAAATTGAACCTTCATAACGATTTTAAATTCTACCAACACAATGACCCCACGCACATTCCTTTGAACATTATACTCAGGCTGCTGTATAACTGTTTTGAAATAATAAAAACACCACCACAATCTCCAGACTTAAATCCCATACAGAATATTTGGCAAGAATTGGAATCAAGAATTCGCAAACACACCATTTCTTCAAAACAACAATTAAAATAGGTGCTTCAAGAAGAATGGGGTAAAATCACTCCAGAAATCACAAAAAAATTAGTCGAATCCATCCCAAGAAGATTAAATCATGTTTTAAAAGTAAAAGGAAATCCAACAAAATATTAAAACCTTTTAAAAAGTAAAATTTTTGGATAAATATTTGATGGAAAAGTAAGTGTCCCATCACTTATGTGAGCCATTTTTTTGCTCCGTTCTAAACAATTGTATTTTTATTAAATTAATATTTTAATATTTTGTGAAAATGTATGTTATGTAATAATTGTTACTAAATTTAAATATGAAACACACCCACAAAAAATTTTTACATGCTTTTTTAACTTATTTTACTAGTTTCCTTTTATAAAGCACAAGTGTCCCATCACTTTTGTGAGACACTGTACGTAATTTAAAAATGAAAATTAACTTTTACAAAAAATATAAGTATATGATGATATCTTTTAATTAATGCCAAGCAAAAATTAACGTTATAAAGAAATTAAAAAATATGATATCTCTCTCTTTTATAATTTTACATTTATAATTTAATGATTAATAAATTTCTGCGTTTACGTTGTTTTAATTATACAAAACTACTAAATTCGTACGAAGCATTTTTTTTATCTTAAATATTTACCTGAACTCTCCGATCCTTGAACATCAGCACACGCTTGAAACCTAAAAAGGAGTCTAGAATCGTCTGTGCACGTGTCGATATTCGAAAGCGGATAATTGCATTCCCCATGACCTCTACTATAAGTGAAGGTGAATGGACCTCGTAGCTGGCAAGACACAGGCTTGGCGTCCACTGCAAAATTTAATTTAATAATTTTAATTACAATTTGGAATCACTGATTTAGACTCAATATGTACTTTATAAATTTATATCTATGCATTAATGATCATTCAACATACATATAGATATATATACATATATAAGTTAAAAGAAAATTCTTAGTGCTTACGCTAAAAAGTAGCTTAGATACTGTGGTTCCGGTGAGAATTTTAACATAAGTAAAATAAAGTGCAATGAAAAGTGTTAACATTAAATAAACAATATTAACACTAGAATATTTACAAATAAAATTCAAACCTAATTGTAAGTAAATATGCTGATCAAGGTAAGGTATACTTTAAACAATAGAATAAAAGTCTGACATAAGCAAAAATACCAAAATAAAAAGCGGTAAAATGGTAGATAAGCCCAATTCGAATCTCATTACTGACTATTCAAGGGAAATTTTTATAATGATTTTCGAATCCAGCTGATTCCATATCGCGTTTCATCGAAACAGACAATTGAAAACGTATATGAAACTATTCTTAAATATTAATTGAAAAACAGTCATAAACTTTAGTCTCAATTCTCTGTTCCATTTCCCGACGCGTCCGCTTGAAAAAACACATTAAGGTGTAACAAAAAACCATACATAATGGTCTGGTTATGCCAATGTACAAAATAAAATAAAATAAAGATCGATCTGCTATTAATCAAAATTACAAGATTTTAACGGAGGACCTACTTATATAGCTTATAGAGTTTAAGCTTTGTGAACGTAGCAAACAATTACAATTAAAATAAAAAGCGAAGAAGACTATAGAAATATTGAAAGGGTCTTGCTATGACCAAAAACCGATAAATGGAAATGAAAACATTTTTTTTAAACAGACCTGGAACGTCGATGTCTTCTTGCTGGAACCATGCCTACTCAAAAGGGGGATGAAAGCATCAAGTCAAGAAGTTGCCAACCAACTAGGCAGGATGACGTAAAAGGGAAAGAAACGTCATGATGAAAGAGCCAATGAAAAGTGACTGACCGTTGGCATAAACTTGACTCAATGTGAGGGGCAATTTGCTGCAGAATGAAGAAATTGTTCAAGATGACGTCTTGCTCGACGAGTTTTAAGGAATTTGGACGTAGGAGAAAGAAAAAATGGCTAATTCTACAAAATGTTAAAATATGGCCACAAAAGTAAGAATAAATTAGAAAAAATATAGTAAATTGTTAATTAAAGTCTTAATTCTTCAAGCTAGAGGGCTATCGAGCTACCAGAAACGAAATGGCCCATAAAATCAATAACAGGATAGATATGGCCAGAAAAAGCTTAAAATCTATTTAAGAATAGAATTAGAAGTACTGTGCCAAATTTTAAGAGTAAAATTGAAGCTGTGATAGAATTAATTTTACATTTATACATTAGATTCTCTGAATCAGCCATCCACTTTAAACCTTCCCATAGGGCTTTAAGCATAAAATTTCATTACCTAACTCAAAAAATCTAAAAGAAAAAGTTAATGCCAGCTGTTTTTAGAGCATTTTTAATGACTTTCGTGGGAATTAGGTTGTTCTGCAAGATAGTTACAAAGTAGAGAATTTCTTTTTGGAGGTATTTTGTAATAATACAGATTCTTTTAATTCTAAGCAGTTGTGCGTTAATTGCATTAATGATGACCCTTTTAGAAATATTGGAATTCCAGTTAATTTCAGTGTAGAAAAGTTGAAATCTCTTCGTTTATCGTAGATTTTCAAACATTTGTAATCTATAATATGTAAATCAAGGTAAACTATGTTTTGCACAGTATTTGTAATACTCAGTTGTAGGCAAGAAGGGTATATATTAGCTTTTCTTATTTTTTTAAAGTTGTTGAAGGCAATTACATCATCAATATAACGATATGTGTTCGTAAATTTTTTTTATCTTCAATATTTATCGAACGTACAAAAGTAAATTGTGTGGAGAAGGAATAATTCAGAGATTTCTGTTGAAAATTTGCCGCCCATAGGTATTCCCTGTATTTGTTTAAAGATGTTGTTTTTAAATTGAATGTAATTGTTGCAAAGAACGCTTGAAAGAAAAAGTTGCCAATTTTCAGTAGGTAATATTGTAGAAATTTGGGGAAATAAATTAGGAAGAGTAAGCAAGCTGCTATAAATTTCTTAAAGTGGTAAAGTAGTATAGAGATTCTCAAAGTCGTAGCATTGAATATGTTCTATTTTAAGTGAATTTAAGGTTTTAAGAATTTGGTCGTTGCTTGATATCATCCAGTTGCAATGTTGATATTTAAAATCATAATTATTGATTACGTCTCGAATGAGATGAAGTTTTTCGCAAAGAGATAATCTATCTCCTTTAAATAACTTTTGGTACTGTTGGCTATGACTCTGAATTTAACAGGAGTCTTATGAAATTTTGGAGATGCATAGAAATTAGCAAACCTGTTATTAAATTTGTAGGGACGGATTTTAAGTCTTTTATGAAGTGCATTAAATTTATTAAAAAGTATTTTAGTGCTAGGAAAGATTTTTTGATAGGCGCACGTGCTATGCAATTCCTTATGCAAAATGTCGTAATAATTTTTTTTTTCAAATGACACTGAAATTGTTGCTAGCCTTGTCAATCTTTGTGATGATAAAGCTTTCTTGTAGTTTACGAATATGAGATTCTAGATGACTTAAAACTTGAAAAGGTAACTTGAAAAGGTAACTTGAAAAGCGTAAGTTTAAATACTTTAATAAGAGCTGCTTTCCATTCAAGAAATATAGTCGTAGGCAAGTTGATGCTATTACTAGCTAAAATAGTGCATTTATCAAGATCATTACTGAAATGTTTTAAGCAAAAGTGTTTATTAATACTGAAAGTCGGACGAAATTTGGTACCTAGTAGCATGAGTTCTCGCAGTTGCACATCTTCAATGATATTGAGATCTCCTGTGATAATACGTTGGTGAAACAGATCTACAAATTTATTCTAAACAGGAAGGTGGCAATTTCATGTGATATCATCTATTACATTGTGGTGGTTAATTATCATATCATCTAAAGTTTTTTTCAAATTTAAAACAAGGTTTAACCTGAAGTCGTTGGTCAGGGATCAATTGTTGACATTTTTTGAACATGCATGGACAAAAGAATAAAAAGTAAAGTTAAATCAAATTTAAATAATTCTCTTGCGCCACTGCTGCAAGGAATGAAATTTCATTATACAAACATTCTTAATTCGTAAAAAGCAAATTTAAAGTTAATTAAATTTAAAATATGGAATTTAATTGCAAACAAATAAATGATTAATTATTGCTGCTAACTAATCTACAATATCATTTAAATTCTGAGAATATATATAAATTAAGTTCAAGTATCAAAATTCATAAATAAATATATAATTCCAATAAATTTTTTAACCTAAATATAATTTTTAAAAAATACATAAGTGAATAATTGTTGAGCAGGTAGGAGACAGACTTATCAATGGGAAGTTGCCTCCAAACCTATCTCTTCAATTACTCAATTCGTGTTTCGTCATCCATGTAGGAAACGGTAAAAGTAAAAGTAAAATTCAAAACCATAATTAAAACCAAATGTTGTGAATTACTAAAAAGAAATTTAAACAAGTGGAATTTTGAGAAATTAGTAAGTAAATGATTAGAATTAAAATTTAAAAAAAAGTCAATTACGAGTAGAAAACCAATAATTTTAGAAAACCAGAGTAATTTAGAAACTCGTGCCTGCAAAAAACTTCCCCGACACGAATTATGCATGTAAATAAAAAAGAAACTATATACAATCTACAAAAAATACATAAATAATACTAAAATGGCAAGTAAATAGTAAGTTTTAATTTAACTTACCGACTAATTTTGTATTGGAGAGTGGAGCATCATTTGCCAAACTAAGTGATGTTAAGTAGTGTTTCTGTTTTTATAAATAGAGGGCGCTAATATAAGGTTAAGTTGCTATCTGTTAAAGCAATTTAAAAAAAAAAAAAAAAAAAAAAAAAAAACATTCTGTAACTTTTAAGTAAGTTTTATTTATTCATGTATTTTGATACTTGCACTTAATTTACATATGCTCTCAGAATTTAAATAATATTGTAGATTAGTTAGCTGCAATAATTAATCATTTATTTGCTTGCAATTAAATTTCATATTTAAAATTTAATTAAATTTAAATTTGCTTTTTACAAATAAAGAATGTTTGTAATATATAGTTATCAAACATATTTATATTATCAAATTAGTGGCCAGTGTATATATATATATATATATATGTAATAATAAAATGCGATAGTCAGTATACACTTAAAATTCTAACTGCATGTTCTTTTCATTTTTAATGGCGACGTTCTCTTATTTGAAAGTACGTGGAATTAAATCCACAGCCCCGTAGTCAAGTTGTTTTTCCCGCATTTTCTACACGTACAGTTTTAGAATGTTCTAGAGATATTTAAAGCGAACTGAATTGGCTGACGAGGCTGACGTCATTTCTTGGAAGCTCCGCCTTTCCAGAGGCTATAAAAGGACTCGCAAAAGAAAATCGGGGCTTTTTCTTTAATGTCACGATGCAGTAAACTTCACACAAAAAGTCATTAGTAATTATTTTTATTTACTCCGGAGATCAAATTTTGTAATTGCTATTTCTCCTGAATAATAATAAATGGATCCTGTCTTTTAAAACTTATCGTCTGATAATTTAAGCTACGACAAAAGCTGGTACATCACACACACACACACACACTTATATATATATATATATATATATATATATATATTATACTATATTACACGCTGATCAGTAAAACACAAAATAGTGATCAACATATATATACGTATATATATATATATATACACTTCAGGGACCATAGAAGTGCTCGTAAATTAACAGCAGGAAATGTTTCCTAAGTTTATATTTCGCATGTCAATCATACCTTTTGTATTTTACTTTTTATATCAAACATAAAAGTTTTCTAGTTATTACTTCAGGGACTGGGAAACGGTATAATACGTAATATTTAGTAATTTTTTACAAAACT